TCTCGCGGTCATTTACTCTTCATCGAACTATCGCTTCTGTCTCAATCTAACTTCCAATATATCTTCTTCAATTTTATTCAATGTATTTCTTCATAGTCTTTACTTTTTTTTGATTAATAAATAAATCGTTGAATCTTTATTCACGAATCTCAATTGTCCTACTCTTGTAGTTTTCTATCATCATTGTGACAATTGACATCTTTAATAGTTATGTCTGATTCTGGGTGGGTGTGGGGTGATCTACTACTCTTGCATACATACACCCACACCCATACCCTCATTTTGTACCAATAAGTTCATTATCATTTAAATCGATTTCAAACGTGAGTAGTAGTACAGAACTTAGCTAATAATAATTATCAGCGCTATGATGAATGCTTGATCTTCATCACCATCGATCTCTACTGTGCAGGCGTCATGAAGAGTATTGTATTTCCTGTTCATAATTGCCACTGTGCGTCCTCCTTTTGTCAATGTGAACGAACGACCGAACAAATCAAGTGCTTCCAATTTATATTGACCATAGATTGAGTCGACCGAGAATTTATCATGCAACGAATACTTCTTCTTGACTAATGCTAACTGGTGACCCGCATCCTCATCACGTGCTGACAATATTTTATATGTTGGATGTAAATGAAGCATCTCTTCCTGGATCTTTATCAGGGCACTAGAAGTAGAAAATACAGCCTTGCGGAAACAAATTGAGGTAAAATAAAAAGATGTTAGCGCAATCCTTGCGGGATTAAAATGTAAAAAATGACGCAGTTGTTTTGTTAAACACATGTAAACCATTTTGTTTAACCTGTTTTGTAATACATTTGTTCTCAACCCTTTACCTAATCTCAAGAATTAGGCTAAGAAAGTAGTTCATATATTTTAGTGAGATTTTATTGACCTGAAGTCTGCAATTGTGTATCAACAATGTTGGTCACAGTCTGCGACACTATGTCGGTCACGGTTGATGGGAGGAGGCGGGAGTGAGTGCAAATTTCTACCCCTATATACTTTAACACTCTTTTTAGATCTTGTTTCACAAAAATCAGTATGCCCATCAACCAAACAAGACAATAAATACACTATGATATACAATCAGAATAATATATAGTTCATCCACGAATCTATCAGATAAATGGAGTACTTAATTTTATGTATATTGATCTTTCAACTTTTCAGATAGAAATATTGCTAACATTTAATTGATTCTTCCACACCCACCAATCAATAAACTATGGCAAAGCAAGCGAACTGAACAAGAATTTGTTAAATATATGTGAAGTTAGATATTCATAATATTTATTGAAAATCTTAGTAAGTGAAACGTATCAAAAACAATTTGAAGCTGTTAGTATTCTGCTATATTATTTTCTTATGCCACTCTTTTCCATTTGTTACGTACATTTTCACTTATCATATTAGGAGTAACCAAAAAAATTAGATAAGTCATTTTCCAAATAAATACTATGATGCTCTCCATAACAATGGTGCTTATTCTGTAAATTGTGGAGCTGATATATTTAGAAGAACCGATTCTTTCATTAATTCTGACGAATTTCACACTGTTCTTATGCCATTTAATCAAGTCGAACCGATTTCTCTGAGCTTTCTTAGATTCACTATAATAGATGAATATCCCCGTGTCGTCGAAATTTCCGTACTTTTGACGATTAACCGTGATTTCCCTGAGAAAAATTTCAAATTTCAGCGATTTTATCGCGATTCAGTAACCAGATTAGTTGTGAGATCTTATCGCGATAAAATCGTCGATTTTCACTTAACTCTTCGCATCAGTAATATTATCGGCAATCACAAAATATCATTCATTTGTTCGTCTCAGTGGACCACTATCTCTATCTGTCTTCGTGCTCAAGCTCTTTGGCCCTTTTTCTATAGATTATTTTTGTCATCTACCGATTCGGTTCTTTTTTTGGAACAAGAAACATGAAGGTAATGAACTTGAGGAGGTCCTATGATAGGCAATCTGACGTCATCTACGTATTCGATCGAAGTCGTGTTGCTTTTGATGAATCTTGGTTTTGTTGGAAAAATTGACAAAAAATCGTCAGTTCTGAGGATATATCGCAATTTAATCTCACAATTGATCGGACGATTATTCGCGATTAAATCATCGATTTTGGGAATATGGATTATTCCTTGATTAGCTTAATTAGTGCAATATGCATTGGCAGTTAAAAGTTTTATTCCATTAATCTTATTCAATATTCGTGAATAAAATAAGTTTCTACAGAAAGTAATAATATGAAAAACAATACACAACTAATACATGAACTCACTTTCCAGCCATGTCTTCCAAACGAATTTTTTCAGTAATTGTTAACAGTTTTGCCCGAATCATGAAGACATCTTGATCCGATTCATCTTGGATCTTATAAATGCCACTCAGTGAAAGTATTTCCTCACGAATTTTATAACGACGAGTAGCTACTGCTTCCCTTAGAGGCTCGATCGTTAAATATGCATGCGACATTATCTAAAATATCTCGTCGAAATGAATGAATATATTGTAGTTAAAAAATCTCGAGCATGTACTTTTATTTTATTATTCAAGCTATGTGTGTATGCACAAATTATGTCAATATTTGAAATCTGGTCGATAAAATTCATCATGTCAGACGTTTTTTTTTTTTTACTTTCTTTCTTTTCTTTTTTTGGTTGCTCTTTAGTGACTACTACTGATAAGACTATTTATTACTTTGGATGCTATAAAAATAAACGAATTGACAAAACATGCTCTTAAATTATACAAGAAGCCTTAAACCTAAGTATTGATGTTTTGAAATGAAATGTTCGGCCATGCATACGTAGCACATGTTGTCAGTAGAGGCATATATAGCGTGGTCCAAAAAAAACTTACCCCTTTTTGCTATATTATTTCTGTCCTTCTACAATTCACTTTTTGGTCCAAGTCTTTTTGTAATAGATACAGCTAGGAAAGGTCTACTAAATAGAGATATTTTTATTCTAAGAACGTTCCGCTGTAAGTGAAGACAGAAAATAAATTCATTAAATATAAAATATATGCTGAAATGGTATACCCCTACTGAAAAGCAAAAAACTCTCACAAACAGTTAGTTTTGACTTGAAATTTGGTGTAGGAATCGAGATAGATACCAGTATACCCATTGTGGAAAAATTTCGATCAAAAAACAATTCGGTTTTTGAAGATTTTTTCGTTTTTTACAAAGTTACTCAAATTTGATGCTAATCTGTGCCCCTTTGTTATCTTGTAAGGTGCACGCAAAGCACAGTTCGAGCAAAAATTTTTATTTTCGATATTTTATATGCCATTCGATAGAGAATTTTACGGCGAGCAAGAATAGTCAGTGAGAAACTAGCATGACCGAGAAAAAAATTCCATTGGACATAAAGATCAACCAATCAAAAAATCACAATAATAAAAAACACCATTTTGAGAGTTTGCGCAACCATAATGGCAGCACTTAGCAACCAATATAAAATAAAAGGAACCATATATAGATAAAAATGCGTACTTCTAGTAAATAAAAAAGAAATCTTCTGAAATAATTATAGCAAGCTAGATATTTGAGAATTAAAACAAATCAACAACTTCAATCGAAAATTCTTTTTTTTTTACGTAAACATTCTTTCCTTGAGTGAACACAATTGTTTTGTTAATCATTGAATTCTGTACTATAGTCACTAATCTACTCACAAGCAAATCAGAATTTTTAAAAAGAAAAAAATCGCAATTATATAATAATTTCGTATTTTCTGTTTCTACAATCAATCATATCCTGTTAAACCAGGCTTTTTACATTGGAGTCACACGAATTTAAGACAGAAAACACCAGGGACCCACACGGCAGTTCGATTCTTGACAGATTGCACAATCAACTGGGGTATTGGGTGTGAGGAGGATGTGGCTGTGGATATCAATCTTGTGATCATTCATATCAACACCCCACTCACACACTCTACACCCTAAATTATTTTCTATTACGACCGAACCCAATAGTGTAAAAATACTTAGAAAACATGCTATACGCCTCACGCAAAACAAAGTTTTTCCAGTAACCACTTGAACTATATTACTAAGAATTCCGTTCTTCTTCTGATTTTATCTATTTACAAGAAGCAACGATCGTTGATAGCATGAATGTCATCATACCTACTAGTAAGTATATAAAGTCAATCATGTATAATAATTTTTTTCTTTAAAAACAACGAAATTAGCCGTGACACATGTTTTCTTGTTACTGCTCATTGATTCCGATAAGATGAATTAGTACATGTACAAGTATAGCGATAAAATGCTGTGATTCTTACTTAGTATTCGCATCGCTGTATGAAAAAATCGTCAATTGGAACAATCGTGTCGATCATCAATCTTACACATATGCTATGGCTAAATGTAATTTTGGTACAGTCAGTGGATGGAACAATAATCGATCAATGATCATAAACGGGACATTACGTATAACTTTGGAGAAAAACGCTCTATTTGTAGTCAGAGGACTCATATCACTGATAATAATTCCAGAGGGTACTGCTTATGAGTTAGATTTCGATGTTCGATTTGATAAGCAGTTCAATTGAAGTCTTAGTGGAAAAGTCGGTTTTGGTATTGATATTGGAGATGGAAACACAGGATGCAATCTGCCAACTATTGGAACCAGTGGAAGTCTACGTTTCGTGTGGCATAACATTCGTTGGACAATATATAATAATAAGCGATTTATTAATAGATTTTTTTTCTACGTAAGTTTTATTTGCATATCTCTTTGATCAAGCATACTTTTTTTATACTACGGAGTTCGTGGAAGAAGTTCTGATGAATGGCAATTCAGAACTGATGGTTTTCTTTACTTTGATAATTTGTATGTACGACAAATTAGTAAATAAAAAAAAAAGTGTTTATAAATAAATTCAGAAGATATTTTATTGTGCTATAAAGATAAGTCAACAAGTATGCAAGAAAAAAGCTTTGAAAGATTGATACAGCAATGAAAAAGTGTTATTCAACCAAGAAGTATTGTTCCACATGCTATACGAGGACCAGCATTTCTAAAAAATGTCAATAAAGGAAGATAACAATATAGTCTATGAACACTTACCCAGTCATATTACTTTCGCCCTTGCCAGTATGACCTCCATCATCAGTTAAATTGTGAATCATCAGAGGCAAACCAATAACATTTCTTGTCTTATCGAATCCTAGCGAAATGATATCATCACGCAATGCAACATAGGCTCTTCCATCAGCATTTACTTCAATATTGCCTAGGTCACCAACATGCCGTTGCATAAGAGAATCTTTGGGCATCCCGTGAGAAGTATCTATCATAAGAGATAAAATACATTGATCATCGCTCGATTGTACAGAACGAAACTTACTGTAAGGATTGAAATGAGCACCACCAGCGCTACAATTATGATTGTCTCCAATAGGTTGCGAATGGATATGGAAACCCTAATAGACATATAGTTCATAGAGAGTTTTGCGTCAAATAGAT